ATTTAGGTGTTTAGTGGAACCCCCTCCCTTTAAAAAAAAGTTACATATCTGTATGTGGGAGAAATAGAATTAATTTGGATAGTGATGAAACATCAAATAATAGTACATAGGCCATTAGGATATAGTAAAACTACGAATATCTTTTTCTCACCCCCACCCTGACTACAAATATCTTTAGGAAATTCTCTCATAGACTCTATTATTTTCAGACAGAACTATTGTTCTCCATTGTATTTCAGTATTCAATATACTGGCTGCAAGGACTGGATTCAAATGAATTCATCGATTCAGAATGTTGAATAGGCTCCAAATCCAATTTACTGACAAGGAATATGTTCTGATGAATGAATTCAGTTGAATGAATCCATTTGAGCCAAAATAATGATTCTTCAGTTTAATGCTGCCTTAATACCACCATCTTTCTGACGCTCCCCTTTTTGACTTAAGTGGTCAGAGATACTGCTCATGTGTCGCCTTTTGGGGCAAGAATTAGAGAGTTCACAGGTAACCAACTTGCATGTACACATATGTGGTCGTTTTCATTTGTGGTGTGTGTCTGCCCCTCCGGGTGAGCCTGTATTCTGCAAGTCACCACCTTGTACGCAGGTACCGGAGGCAGCTTTGCAGCAGTGTCTCCGCTCACCCTTCTTGGGGCACAGCTTTGGGGACTCTTTCTGTTTTGTTTTGGCTTTTATTGTTGTTTTGCTTCATTTGCGGTTTTATTGATTAACCCTATGTAGGGCCTGTGTGTTTGTGGTTCCGGGAGAGAAAGTACAGTGGGTAGGACACCTGCCTGGCACATGGCTGACTCAGGTTCAATCCCCAGCTCTCCCAGGAGTATTTCCTAAGCCCAAACCCAGGAAGTGCTATGTACAGCCAAGTGAGGCCCAACCCTCCTTCACTGCCCGCTCCTACCTAAAAAAAAAAATTGTCTAGCTTTTTGGGTCTCACCCGAGATACTCAGGGGTTACTCCTGGCTCTCCGCTCAGGCTCTACTCCTGGCAGTGCTTGGGGACCATATGGGGTGCTGGGGATTGAACCCAGGTTGACCGCGTGCAGGGCAAATGCCCTATCTGCTGTACTATCACTCCAGCCCCTGAAAATGACTGGAAATGCAAATTCATAAAGGACATCGGAAGGTGGTGGTAGAATTTGAAGGGGTGGGGCTAGAACGCTAAACAGCAGGTCGGGTACTTGCTTCGCATGTGGCTCCTGGGGATTGAGCCCGGAATTCCCCTGGCAGCTCCTGCACGTCCCGCCTGCGGAGCCGTAGCTGTGGCTCTCTACCTGCGGCTTCTGTGCCATTTTCCTCCAACCCATTTTCCAGCTGTGTGACATACTCTTTTTCTTGCCAGTATTGGCGGTTTTCCCCTGTGCCTCGCCATTTAAATTTATTACTAGGCTAGAGATATGGCTCAGAATAGAGAGATTGCTCTTCATGAATGAAAAGTACAGTCCTGGCACCACCAAATTTTTTTTTTATTTTTACACAATCCATTGATTTCCTTCTGGCGTTTCTTGGTTTCTAGTTTCTTATTACAAAAGTGTATTCTGAGTATGGTTTCCGCTCAGCCATGGAGTGTTTGTAAGGCAAGCCAACATTGCCTCCCCACGCATCAAGAGGAAAGCCTACTTTCTCTTACTTTATACATATTAAGACCTTTTTTTTTTTTTAAGATCAGTAGTTCCCTTCCTTCTTTCTTTTCTTTCTTCCATCCTTTTTAGTTTTAATCTTTCTTCATGTAAGTCCTGTATATTTACGGTTCAGTTTAATTCAAAGTAATCTATAATTTTTGTTACGATTGCAAGTAGAATTTTAGGGGCGTTTGTTACTAAAATAGGATGAAGTTACTCACCTGGCTGTGTTCAGTTATGCTTGTGTGACCGCACCAGGCCAGGGAGCAAACCTGGGCCTCCTGTGGACTGTGTCTGGCCCAAGCAACACCTGGTCCCCAGAGCACCACCAGGTGTCACCCCTGAGCACCAAAACAAGCAAAATAGATCTGGTATATAAATGAATTAATTATTATAAAAAATTTAGAAAGAAAACACCAGGGATTGGAAAGATAGTACAGTTGGTAAGGCTTTTGCTTTGCGTGTGAATGAGCCAAGTTTTATTATCACCAGGATTGATCTGAGCGCAGAGGCAAGAGTAAGCCCTGAGCACCTCTAGCTGTGGCCTCAACTAAAAAAAAGGAAGAAAGAGGAAAGGAAAAAGCACTAAGGGACAGACAAGATCTTCTTAACTAGAATGCCTTTTTTATACCTAAAGTAGTAACTTTAAAAAAAAAAAACAGGGCTGGAATGATAGTATAGCAGGTAGGGCACTTGCCTTGCATGCAGCCAACCCAGGCTCAATCTCTGACACCCCATGTGGTCCCCTGAGCATCACTGGGTGTGCCCCGTGGCCCTGTCCTCACCTTCCCCAGTATATAGTCAGAAGGCTCTTCCATGCTAGACTTGAATATTCTTTGGTGCCCTTTCAATGGTTGTAGATATTATAAAAGGCTCTTGGCCATTTCATCTATTTCCTTTGATGAGTGTGAATTCTCTTCAGACCAGTCTTCTCTCTGACTGCAGCGCCTCCTCTTCACTAAGGGAGCTCAGCTCTGACTGTTGAGCCCCCTCGTGTAGGCCTCTAGGTAACCCCAGAGCCCTTCAGATCAAGGTCTGCAGAGAACCAGCCACCTCAGGCTTCTAGTTCCTCACATACTTCTTTCTCTGCCAAAATGCCTCTGAGTGCTACTGGTTTTAGCCCAAACGCACCCCCTAAAAAATTCACTGTCACTGTCCTCCCATTGTTCATCGATTTGCTCAAGCAGGTCCAATAACATTGTGAGACTTGTTACTGTGTTTGGCATATCGAAAAAGTCACAGGTAGCTTGCCAGACTTTGCCATGTGGGCAAGATACTCTCGGTAGCTTGCCGGGCTCTCCGAGAGGGGCGGAGGATTGAACCTGGATCGGCCGCGTGCACGGCAAACTCCTTACCCGCTGTGTTATCGCTCCAGCCCCTAAAATATTAAAACGAAGAAAACTAAGAAATTTAATCTATAGGGCCAGGCATGGAGCTCGGTGGCTTGTTCTTATGGGCAGACACGGAGTGGCTTTTGACGAGAGGGACATTGTGAAAGCAGTGTTTTGAAATGTCCACATACACAGAAAAGACTGAATTAGGAAGGCCTGGGATTTGGTGGCTCATGGCTTTGCAGCCATTCACCTGCAGGGATGGCCCCCCAGAAGGACTCTGAGGCTCATGAGTGAAGGTGACCCGGGTCACATACTCACCACCTCTGGCCTAGTTCCTTTCCTTTAAGATAAAAACCTTAATGAGGTTCTTTTCCTGAGGATCTGGGCAGGGATTGTGGGAAAATTGCAGTAAACTTTATTATTTCTTGCTTTTGATTTTCCTTTAATACTGCGTTGCTTCATTTCAATTCTAATATCCCCGACACCCTTCCGTCTCCTTCCCCTCAAACCCCCCGCACCACCTCACACCTCACACCTCCTCACAGGGCTGTATGGAAAGCTTACCTCTGTTGAAGCTTCTGGTCCTGGGGCTATTATGGAAGTTAAAGAATAAGGCAGTAGAAAATGTTCCTGCTTGATTTTTTTTTTCTTTTGGGGACCACACCCATTGGTGCTCAGGGGTTATTCCTGCATCTGTGCTCCGGGACTACACCTAGCAGTGCCAGGGAAATTGAACCTCCGTCAGTTGCATGCAAGGCAAATGCCTTCCCCCTGTTCTTTCTGGACACCCCCAAAACTAATACATATTTCTTTGGTTTGGGAACCACATCCAGCAGTTCTCAGGAATCACACTGGCAGGGCTCAGGGGATCATTTAGGATACCAGGGATTGAACCAGGGTTTGGCTGTGTGCAAATCAAGTACTATCTCTCTCAAAATATTTTTAATTATATTCACTTTTACTCAATTTAAATTATATTAGAATTTAAGATATCTACTTAGAATTATACTGTATTAATATTAATACAATGTACAGATGACTCATTCAAATATAAACAGGCAAGCAAATATAATGATTGAGGATAAAAAGGAAAATAATCAGTTTATACTAACAATAAAATTTTAGTGTTATATTTGTTCATTGTTGGAAAACAAAACACCTCATAATTTACTGACTTTTTAAAAACTATGTATTTTGTCTTATTTCTTGTTATTTTCTTTCCTTTTTTTTTTTATTAGATAGCACCTTTTTAACATCTCACTAGTCCCCCATTTTGTCCACCACTCTTCGCTGGCAGAGATTAGTCTTCTGAGAAGCTGCAGCCTTTGGTAGTCTCTTCAGCTTGCCTCACAGCCGTGCCGCTCCTCCTCTCTGGCCTGGGTGTCACTAGGAGTGGTTACTCTCCAAGCGTGTGCCCTACCTCTGTCTACCTCTGGACTCCCCTTCTAGCTTCCTCCCCCAGTATGGTCTTCCTCGTCTCTCACTACCACTAGCCTGGGGGATTTCAGTCCATGAGCGTCCGCCTGGGCTGCCTTAACTCCTCACCAGCACACTTGGAATTCTGTAGACACTGTTAAACTCAAATGTCTGTCTGATTTAGGGGTGGGGAGACCACACTGGGCGGTGCTGCAGGGCCTCTCTTGGCTGTGCTGGGTCAGCCACGGCCACATCTAGGCAAGGACCTTAACCTCTGCTCTCTCTCTAGCTCCACCAAGTCTGCATGTATACATGAGACCCATTTTGCAGGTGTGTGTGTATGTGTGCGTGCGTGTGTGTGTGGGGGGGAGGGTGCCCACTTTACAGGCCTGCAGATAGAGCAAACAGAAGTAGAACATGGTTAAGGATTTGCCCATGAATACACCCCTGGCCAGTCAAGGACATCAACTCGGCACCCTGAGCCCCATCCTTCGTTAGCTGGTTTCAAGCAAGAGACACATCATCTCTTGACTTTGTAAACTTTGAAAAGGAAGAAAAAAAGGAAAGAATAAAAAGAAGCTTTGCTAACCTTTTCCTTTTCCTCTTTGGGTGCAGGTGGAAGTGAAGCCATATGTGCTGGATGATCAGATGTGTGATGAGTGCCAGGGCACGCGCTGTGGTGGGAAGTTTGCCCCATTCTTCTGTGCCAACGTCACCTGTCTGCAGTATTACTGCGAATACTGCTGGGCGAGCATACATTCCCGCGCCGGGCGGGAGTTCCACAAACCGCTGGTGAAGGAGGGAGGCGACCGCCCTCGCCACGTCCCGTTCCGCTGGAGCTGAGCCCAGGGCAGACCCAGCCACAAGTACTGGAGTAGATAACAAAGAGGGAAAAGAGCGGGCACTGCCTCAGGGCTTACAGTGTTCTGGAAATCTGTGCATTTGTTCTCGATTTTTAAAGAAGAAATGGGTCTTTTTATTATTATTTTTCTTCTTCTTCTTCTTCTTTACAGTCATATTACTGAACTCAGTGTCCAGTATAATGCAGAATTGCAGAGTGTATAACGGTACTGATTTGCACTTTGATTCACACCTGTAATGCTTGGTACCTTAATTTCTTCCACCTGATTTCTCACTCGACGGTATGTAGACTACCATTCTCATCAGCAGCCATCAGGTTGATGTCTGTGATATTTTGTTGTTGTTGTGTTGTTTTTCTGATTGTTTTTGAACTGGAGCATGCACTTATTTTCAGAAACTTAGAGAGTCGCCCCTAGGAGAAGACTTACCAAAGGTAATGCTGAGTAGATGGCACATGTAGCAAAAACTTCACAACAATTCAGCAATCATTAGTAGGGGTCATTTAGAGTAAGGATAACCCTTAATGAAAATAAGCCTTTAGTTGCTCTCTGTTTTGACATGTAAGGATACCTCATAAGCTAAATCTTTTTTTTTTCCTTCATGTTTGATTTTTGTTTTGCTGAGGATTTTGGTTAGATCTTTTAGTGTTATGTAAATTTATGCTGCAATAGCTTTTGCTGCTATTAAAATGGTATTAATAATACCATAATACTCTATTCAGGCTAAGGTATCAATTAAAAACAAACCCAACAACACACTTTTGTGATTTAGAATCAGCTGCCGACAGGAGATCAGAATAGATCAGAAAGCCTCAATGGAAGGTCACGATTTCTGACTGCATGTTTACTTAATCAGGTTGCTGCATGCAATAAATTTTATATCCAATGTCTAGTATAACACCTTCCCACAATGCACAAATTAAGAATCTATATAAGCTATAAAATACTGATTTTTTTAAAGGATTTTTTTCATTCAAAGAATCGGTAATGGACTGGAGGAAGGCATGCCTCAGTGAACAGAATGCTTCTGAGATGAGGAAGAGCCCCTACAGAATGCCCCATATTACAACCAATAGAAAACCTAGGTGTAGGATATTCTTAAAGCAAATTTGTGGATGGTAGATGAAGTACTTTGCGGTGCTGTTATATATTGTGCAATTTATTTTATATAGTAAAGTGATTATGTCTAACTGTGATCAAACTTAACTGTTTAAAGCCTCTGTGTCAGACATTAACAAACTTGACGGTTCCTAACTGGTATATTATTAACTAACACATGAGCTCTTAGTTACAATCTCCTAGTGCTTGCACCATTTACATAGCTTCATACCTTGTCCAGAAAACCAAAGAGCTCATCTTAGCTTACAAACACTAGGAATATATACAGTATATAGAGATAAGTTGTCAGATTGACAAACTAGGCACATTTTAAGGAAGTTTTGGGTTGGTAATGCTAAAGAAATGTCTGTACAAACTAGGATGGCCTGGACAGGGCTGGTTGTCTGTGTGAGAAATTAACTACTTAATTCCCTGGATTTATCCTGTAAAGCTTGAATAGAATTAAGACCTGCTAGTACTACCATGGACATTTTTTTAGCATTCACTCTTGGGCCGCAGATAGTAATATATATAAACACACGATGATTGTGAAATTATGTAAATCTTTTTTTTTTTAATCTTCCTATGTTTTGGAATTCGGGGACAATCTGACTGGATATGACACTGCAGAATAGTTTTAAGTTGCTATGTTTTATGTGCTGTGACGTCCTGGTACTGTCTTAAGTTAATATTGCTTGTTTTTTGTTTTGTCATTGTGTTTCTTCAGTGTTCAGTTGCAATTACCAGCTCTCAAGTTATGGTTTGTTTTCAAAAAGGAAAAACAAAATAATAGATAATAGTTTTTTACAGAATTTAAAAAAAAATGCATATTAGAATTCTCCCCTTCTGCGGTTACCTCTGGGCTTTTTGGTAATGATTGCTTTTTTCCAGCCCAGCTGTGGTTTTCTGTTTGTTTGTTTTCTATGTTTGTGGTTTTTTTTCATCTGTACAAGAAATTTTGTTATGCACTACTACTTTTTGTATTCTAGACAGTTTTCAAAAGTTGGCTGAAGATCTGTTTGTTTTAAGGAAAAAGGCATGCTTTCTGACCGACATGATCTTTTGCAATACCTCAATTTTGAAATATAGGAAAGAAAATGATATTTTCTAAGTAAGTTTATTCAGAAAAATATATATTAATTTAATTCTGCAAGAAAAATGATTTAACAGATGGGTAACTTTATTTTTTTCATGCTTATTTGTGTTTTTTGAAAATGAAGAAGTTAGAGCTTTATAACTATAATATAAAAGATCATATCTAACTACAGAAATCTACCTAATTATGTGAAAGAAGCAAAACTTTTTGAAGAAGCACCCCTCCTTTCATGTACTAAAATAACACTGAGATTTAAAAGAAAAAAGAAAAGTTGGAAGATTGTAAAGCATAAGGTGAAAGTGAAGGCAAGAAAAACCTTGTCATAAAGAATAGGCTACAAACAATAAACTCCATTTGGTGCTGAAAGTTGTGAATAGATGGTGGAAACTACTTTCCCTTAATTTGTATATTTATAATCCAGCGTTGATTGTGCTCGACTGACCAGGATTGTGAAAGAGTTCTTCTGTTTGTATTTTTTTAAAGAGAACTTTTTTAGTTTATTAAATTATAACATGTTCCCTTTTGTTTTGTAAATAAATGTGCCCCAAGTTGTTAATGTTATAGTAAAAGAGAGGGTCCTTCAAAAGAAAATTATTTTTTAAAACACAGAGGTGTTCTGACCTGCAACTTGACTGGGAAGGGCCTGGCTGTCACAGGCCCTGTGACTGGGCCCTTTCCTCGATGTGACACTTGAACTAGTCGATTTTTTGAAGGCTAAAACCTAACCTCGACTATTTGTTGTTATGTGCAATACTGTTTGTACTGTTTGTATAAAAAATAGAAAAAAAAAGAAAAGAAAAAAGGCATAAATCTTTATTGCAGATTTATTTTCATTGCAGACTTTAGACATTGTGATTCACTGAAATCATTTTTCTACTGTCAAATATGTACCTTTTCTTCATGCTGGTATTTTTTCAATAGTAATGTAGCCTTTGTACTGAGACAAATTTTCATTGTTATTTTTAGAAAGATTTTTTGCTAAGAAAAAAATTAAACATATTTACATATTTTTCATTTTATTTCGTATTTTCTTTAAGGAGTGCTTTCTCAATCATTAATAGAGTTGTTTCTGGGAGGGACTTTCATATCTGGTCAATGTCATAATATTATTTTGTATTTTTACTTGGAATAAATTAATTTTATGATGCTAATTCTTTAAAAGTTTATTTTTTTCATTTTCAGTTATTTTTTGAAGCTAAAACCTTTGTAATATTGTTACTAAAGTGTCTAGTTTTTTGAAATGCAAAGCTTTATGTATTAACTTGCTGATGTGGTTTACAATAGTGTGACAACGATGAAAATGGTTGGTTCTGTAAAGTGACTGGAAAATGTAATGGATAATTGGGTAATAAAATGACAGAATGAGCATAACATGTGAGATTTGACAAGCCTTTTCCTTTGTTCTAGTGGTTCAGTGTAAGGCTAGGGATGTCGCAGTGCGTTTATACAACACCAGGTGCGGCTAAGTCTGGCCCAATAATCACGTCACCTCTCCTCCAGTCTCACCCATTTTGAAACGTGGCCAGGTCAGCCCAATGATGCTCTGCTTTCTCCCTCTCACTTCATGCGTCCTGTGTGTGTGCTTGAACGCAGGCACGTCTGCTGCCAGCTGCTGTCTCTGTGCCACGCAGTGCCTGGGTCCATCCGAGAATCAGAGGAAGTTGCTGAGAGGACACAGCGGTCTGTGTAGTCAGGCTGGAACCCAAGTGTCTCACCTGTTGCCCCTCATCCGGCTGGCGTGGCACACGAAGGACGCACACTTGGACATCACCTCCGCATCTCGATAGCCTCGAACACCATCCTCCTCCTCCCACCCGTGCTTCTTGTTTGTCCCTTCATGTGGCAGCACATTTTGCCACTCCCAACATGATCTGTGTGCTCTCCTGTTGACTTCCCACACTCACCTCACCTGGAAAGCGTGCATTTAAGGTGGCATGTCATAATGGCACCTAAAATTGAACAGCCACCAGAAAAAAAAAAAACTGCAAAACTGGTGTTGTATAAACAGAAACATCCAACACTTGCTCTAGATTAGATGGTTGTGTTCCTGCTGGTCCTTGATAGCCTCTTCCATACCCTGGGGCCGTGGAGGCGAGGTTATCAATAACTGGAAGAAACACACGTCCAGCGCTGGCTCTTGGGTATACTCTTATGTATTCAGTTTTGTAAATAACCTAGATTAGATCAAGTAGTGATGTAAAATTTTAACTCAAATTGGGTATTAGTGGTTGGAATTTTACATTAACTACAAATAAGTGATTAGGAACAGGAGAAAAGAAATGGGAAAATTCTTGCTTTAGTGGTATAAAGATTATGCTTAGATTTCTGCCTATATCTTGTGTTTTCTAGCTTGTTAGTGAGGCATGGGCTAATGCAGTGTGGACTGCATTCACGCAATTAGCAAATAACTGCTAGTTTTCATTTTATCTCTTAGCAAAAAAAAAAAAACAAAAAAACAAAAAAAAAATTAAAAAAATGGAATTTAACTGGGTAAAGCTCCTATCTAAATATTTGACTATTGTGACATCTCTTCTTGCAAGGTTTGAGTGAAAGACTGTAGTCACAGATTAGTGGGGGGAATAAAAGTATCTTTTTTTGTTAAATCGGCTTATTTGTATGGATTGTTGCTTTTACACCAGTTTGTATGGTATGTCAGCTAACATTTTGTTGTTTTTTTTTTATAATCAAATTTCTTTATCTCAGCTGCAATAGTGTTCCATTTTACCACAGAGTATTTTATAATTAATGCTGTTGACTTTATACCCCAAAATGGATCAAGAAGTGTGATTTGGGGATGTTTAAATTTGTATGACCATAAAGTTAATAGCAACAAGTAGAAAGTTCGGGTGCTACACAGGATATCTGCTCTTCTCTTTTCTGGATACAGTTCTGTTGGGGTATAAAGTATTAGGTATTTGTATTTTTGCTGTCACAATAATCGACATAACTCTAGAGTGTTCACAGCTAAGATCTCTGTATTTGTTTTTCAACTAACAACTAATTTCAAATGTATTGTACCTTTTATTACTTGTTCTCTTAGATTGTTTTTGCTAGTAACTCTTAACTCAGCTTCTGCCTCTGGGCTAGGGCTAATAGTGCTTGTATGGAATCATGGAGCTCAATGCAGCTATTGCTCACAACTGCTTCAACTTTGTAGTTTGGACTTTTTTTTTCTGTAATTACAACTTATTAAATCTAGTTGTATGAAGTACTGACACTTGTCATCCTTTGCATTTGCTGAGGAGGAAGGATGTGAATGGCCCGGGAACAGGCGCTTTGCGGGCTGAGCTTTTGAGGGGAGCGGGGCAGCCTTGACAGCAGCACCTTAACGCTTTCTGACACAAATGGCACTGGGCAGGAGCAATGGTACAGTGGGTAGGGCGCTTGCCTTGCACGTGGCCCATCCTGCCACCACATACGGTCCCCCGAGCCCCGCTCAGAGCCAGGAGTCAGTCCTGAGCAGCATCGGCTGTGGCCCCCAAACCAAACCAAATAGCACCCGTTTCCAGACAAAAGGAAACGATCAAAAGGACGTAGTCAGGGTTTTGGTACCTTATGTTGGACGTGTATCCTGAGGCTCGGTGGAGAGGGAGGTCGCCTTGGGTCGTCAGCACATGCCACCTGACACCAATTTTCAAACTTAAAACCAGGTGGGGCGGTGAGCGGGCGAGTCCACCCCTTCCAGCTCTGACCGGGGGAGCGAATTTGCCAGGTGGGTCCTTTGGAGCCCACCGGGCTCGACTCCTTTCAGAAAAAGGGTCGCGAGGCCACGGCCCGGGTTCGGTTGATTTCGGTGGGGGGTTGCGGCGGCGTCTGGGCCAGGGATCTGACCGACGACACCAAGCGCCTAGACGGGGCGGGGGCGGGTGTCACTGGGGTCCCCCGGGAGGGCTAGATGGGGGGCACCTGTCTCGGAGGGGCATCGGGGGCTCCTCTGATCCCCGTGCTTGGAGTGTGCCTTTACCCTCCCTCTTAGGTCACCCCGAACCCCTAATATACATTGCAACACCGACCTCTCCCCGCAGCCGGCGCCCCCCATGCCTGCCCCCTTTCCCCCGGAGACCCAGGGATGTCGCTGACCCGTCCACATTTGCCGCAGTCCTGCAGGTAAAGGGACCCAGAATCCTGGCGCCGTGCCCCCGACAGGAAGCTGCAGCCTGCATAGAGGGGCGCTGGCTGCGGTGGGCAGTTGCCCCCGGTGGCGCAGTCGGGTCACACTCGGAGCCCTGCTCGCTCTTCCAGTGGGGAGCAGACGCTTGTTCCAGGAAGACGGTTGCACTTGGAGCTACAAGTGGACCCCATTTTCGGGGATCTCAGGCAGACCCCACGGCTGGTCATCTTGCAGTGAACCAGGAGTAAGTAGGTAAGTGAACAGTCCCTTGCCTAAGTAGGTGATGAGCATGTTAAATTTGGGGTTAAGTGTGAAGTATGAGTACCTCGTAAGTACCTCAAAAGGAGTCGCCTCCGCACCTGGACCCTGTCTGAATTAGGAGTGGAGCAGCTCTTTCAAGAAAAGAGCTCAGCACCAGCACACTGCAACAGATCCCCAAGAGGTGAATGCAAGAAGACCCCAATACCATCCAGCTGCCAATTCAGCCTAGAGGGAACAGCCCTGGGTTGGGTGTAGCTCTATGGAGAGAGAATTTGGCTGGTGCGGCATCTGGGGTTTCTGGTTTGCCATTTGGTTTGGGGGAGGGGGGTTGGTTTTTGGCGGGGATCACACCCAGCGATGCCTAGGGCTTACACCTGGCACTAGGAATTACTCCTGTCACTGCTTGGGGACCATAAGGAGTATTGGGGATTGAACCCCGGCCAGCTGCATGCAAGGCAAGCACCCTACCCTCTATACTATCTCTCCCTGAAAGGCCTGTCTTCTGACAATTGTGACTTAGAAGTCCCTGTACAAACCGACAGATAAATGTTCGGGAGAAAAGACAATTTATTCACCTGCCTCTGCCGGCACAAATGAAGGGGGCCTCTATAATTTCAGATTAGGGATTAGACTTTGGGGAGAGAAAAGGACAGAAATGGTTTCTATGGGAAGATCAAGTGGTTAGGTGGGGCCGGGGGCGGGGGGAGAGAAGGGGAGAGACTAGCAGATGTTCAGGGGAAAACAGTGGGTGGTGAGGAAGTTGGTACAGGTGTCAACTCTGGTGGGTAGGGAATTCACCATGTTCAGGTCACAGAAACACCCCAGAATAGCGTTTGAGAGCCTCTCTCATTTCTGCCTGTAGACAGAAGAGCAAAGCCCCAGGAAAGCTTCTGTTAGCGTCAAATATTCAGTATCTTAGTCCTCTTCAGGGCCCAGGGTCTCCATAGCTCATTGGAGGTTCTGTCTTCCTTCTGCCCTGGAACGGGGATGTAGAGGGAACAGCCCTGGGTTGGGTGTAGCTCTATGGAGAGAGAATTTGGCTGGTGCGGCATCAGCTTCATTTACTTTTCCTCAGCCCTGGCACGGCCACTCCCTGTCCTGTCACTGTCTTTGTGGCTGTTCCTGGTGAAGCCTCTGGTTAAGAAGATGGCTTGAAGTGAATAGTTCACTGTAAGGCAAACTTTCCAATTTGCCCTTTTTCATGCAGGCTCAAATCAAAGGACTTATCTTGGTAAATGACAAAATAACTCCCAGGGCTTGTTGTGGTCTCTTTTGGGGTGGGCAAAGCTCCTTTGCTTGTTGTCATTTCTCACCTCTTAAACCAGAATGCAGAGCCAGAAGTGGAGCCCAAGTGGTAGAGCACAAGACTTGAGTTGTCCTGAGTGTCACATAACCCCACCCGTGGTCTAGCCCTGATGACCCCAGCACTGCACTGCTGAGGTCCACAAAGAATGATCCTAGGCACCACCCCAACACACAATATATATATGAGGCTCCCATTAGGTACATAAAGAATAAAACCAAAATATAATTTCAGTACATACCCACAAGAATGATAAAAAGACAGATTACCAAATGTTAGTGGGGGATCCTGACAAGAAGTGGCAAAAGTATAAAGTGATGTGGCCATTTTTAGAAAAGTGTCTTCAGGAACTATCCTGTGACTCAGCTTCTCACAGGAACGTGAGAAACAGAAATACATAATATGTTCTAGAGACTTACAAGGATGATCTGAGCAGCAGAGTCCATTAGCCCAAATTAGCTCTCCCAAATGCATCATTAGACCACTTCGAAGGACCCAGAGAGAATTAGTAGATGCAGATAAATGCTATGTTACAGATTTCACTCATCCTTGATCCAAAGAGCACACTTGAAAGAACACATTCTTTTTTTTCCCCCTGGCTTTGGGGCCACACCTGGCAATGCTCAGGGTTACTCATGGCTCTGTACTCAGGGATCATTCCTGATGGTGCTCTGGGGACCATCAGAGTAATGACAGCAGTGGATCCTCAAACAGTACTAATCTATTCCAATCTATTCTAGCTCTGGTAGTCCTCCCCCACCCCCCACCGAGTTTATCTTTTTCCTTTGAGCTTATCGTCTACATCCAACTATCTACTCTGTATCTCTATTTTGATATGTTAGGGTAGCTCAAGTTTATTCTTTTTTTTTTTTTTTTGCTTTTCTTTTGGTGGGGGGTCACACTCAGCGATGCACAGGGGTTACTCCTGGCTCATGCACTCAGGAATCATTCCTGGCGGTGCTAAGGGGGGGCCCATATGGGATGCTGGGAATGGAACGTGGGTCAGCCGTGTGCAAGGCAAACGCCCTACCTGCTGTGCTATCGCTCCAGCCCCTATTGAGATAATTCTAGACTTACTCCCCTTCCCTAATTCATTCCTCCTTAATCTTCTATATATCTTCATGGCACCATGCAAAAATCAAGACCAGAACACACTTGGTTTTGTTACTATAAGCAGGGTGACATTGATTTGACTGGGATAAAAAATGGCAGGATCTGATGAAAATTAAAGGTCAAGGGCTAACTTTAGCACTTGTAGATGGTGAGGAGTTCCAAATCACTCTGGGTGTTACAGGAAGTCATCCTGAATAGGATTGGCAGAACACTAGATGAAGGACAACCATGTGAGCAAGCAGGGTTCCGCAAAGGATTCAGCACCATCGACCATATCCACACAATAACCAAGCTCACTGAGGTTTCTCGGGAGTTCAAGATGCCGCTCTGCTTAACGTTCATTGATTTAAAGAAGGCCTTTGATTCTGTTGAGACGGAAGCGGTCATTGAAGCCCTAGCCAATCAGGGCATTCAAGCCCAATACATCAGGATCCTCCGTGAGCTGTATTGCGGATTCACTACCAGGATCTCACCATTCTACAAAGAAGTGATCGTTGATGTCAAGAGAGGGGTGCGGCAGGGTGATACCATTTCACCAAAACTCTTCAGTGCCACCCTCGAGAACATCATGCGACGACTGGAATGGGAAGGAATGGGAGTGAAGATAGATGGTCGGCAACTACACCACCTCCGCTTTGCTGATGACATTGTTTTAATAACACCAAACATCAGCCAAGCGGCACAAATGCTGGCTGACTTTGACCGTGAGTGTGGAAAGGTAGGACTACAGCTGAATCTTACGAAGACAATGTTTATGAGAAACAGCCTTGTTCCTGACGCCCCATTCGCTCTCAATGGAACGACCATCTCCGAATGCAACAGCTATGTGTACCTAGGTCGAGAGGTCAACATGACAAATGACCTGGTACCCGAGCTGCGCAGGAGGAAGAGAGCGGCTTGGAACGCCTTCAAGAACGTCGAAGAAATAGCTAAGAGGACGAAGAACCTCCGGCTCCGGGCACATCTCTTTGATTCCACTGTTCTTCCTGCATTAACATATGCCTCAGAGACCTGGGCCCTACGCAAACAAGATGAGAACGCCATTCAGGTCTCCCAAAGAAGAATAGAAAGAGCTATGCTTGGAATATCACGTTTCACTCAAATGAGAGAAAGAATCCGGAGTTCTGACATCCGTCGATGATCAAGAATCAGGGACGCTGTCTCATTTGCCACGGTGTCAAAAATCAGATGGGCTGGTCACGTAATGAGATTTAAAGACGACCGTTGGACTAGAGCTGTTACTGATTGGATTCCACGGGATGTCAAGAGACCGCGTGGCCGCCCACCTACCAGATGGTCAGACTTCTTTGTCAAGATCATGAACGATCGGTTTGAGGCCCTCCATGTTCCCGGAGCGAAGAGATGCCATTGGGCTACACTAGCACGCGACAGGGACAAATGGAGACGTTACTGGCGCCCGCTC